GTTGGATTTTGTAAGCCCGCAAACCAAGATTCGTCCGCAAAATTTTCCATAAAGCGTATAGGCAAAGGTCCAATCAACTACATCGTGGTGTGAAACCGATCCATGGTTGCTCGATGTACCGACTTTGCTAAGCGATTATGTCGACCGAGTATTGCAAGCAGCGCGCCATGCGTCGCGCGAACCGAACTATTACTTTGGTAATACTTGTAAATTTGGAAAACCAAACAGAGTATAAATAATAATAATAATAATAACCCAACGATTACCCTCCTCCCGCCCAACCGACGCGAGGGGCGCAATACACATACGTGCGGAATTAGCCGAGTCAGAAAAGGCAAGAGAGTTTTTTAAGTGTTGAGATCTAAAACTGCTCAGCTAAAGAAACAAAAATTTCAACAGCTAAGATCTAAAGTTATAATATAATAAATTGTTACATTTTCATTTAATAAGAGAAAACAATAAAGTCTTTTTAATTTTGAAAAGTGAGTCAGATAAGTCAAATGTGCTGGAATGTGAATTATAATCATGACATATACGGCGGAATGGCTCGTTTAGTTCAAAAACAGGATTTTAGCAGTAAAGGTCTAAACTGCCTCGAAAGGCGAACCGGGATATTAAATTTAATTTCAGACAGGAGAAAAGAACTGCAAACAGTTCCATTCAAAAGTTTCACTAAGAATGTTATGCCAAGCATTTCCCTACGACTAGAAAGTGTAGGTAGATTAATAAGTTTTAAACGACTAGTGTATGGAGGTAGACTTACCCTAGCATCCCATCGGAAATGCGCTAAGACGAAAAGTAAAAATTGTTTTTGAACCGACTCTAACTTGTCAGAATGGATTTGGTAGCTAGGGTTCCATACCACAGAGCCATATTCCAATATAGGTCTAACCAAAGTTGTATAAAGTCTTTTAGTAATATACGGATCTCTTAATTCTTTAGACCAACGGTTAACAAAACTGAGGACAGCTTTTGCTTTCAAGACCATGGTATCAATATGAAGACAAATCAACATAGTTTAAAACTTGTTCTAGAATATGGTGTTTTATTACATAAGAAGAGGGGTGCACAGATCTACGGGAAAAGCACATCGTCTTACATTTATCGAGATTCAATAGCAAATCATTTCTATCACACCATGCAACCAAATTGTTTAAATCTGTTTGCAACAGACACCTTTCCTCAGTTGAAGTGTATGATTTAAAAAGCTTTACATCGTCAGCGTATAATAAAATTTTTGAGAATTCTATTCCTGAAGAGATATCGTTAATAAACAACAAGAACAGAATCGGGCCAAGATGACTACCTTGCGGAACACCAGAAGAAACATTAATTGTATCCTCAAATATCACTCGTTGTGTTCTATTATAAAGATAGGAAGATACCCATTGAAGGAATCTTGGCTGAAAGCCCAGCAGATCAAGTTTATGTATGAGAATCGAGATATTTACTTTATCGAAAGCTTTGCTAAAGTCTGTGTATATAACATCCGTATGCTTATGTTCCCTAAAACCCAATGATACATGGTTTACAAATTCAAGTAAGTTTGTTATAGTCGAGTTCCCTTTACGAAATCCATGCTGAGATGAGGAAATTAACGGAGAAATTGAAAAGGTTATATGGTCAGTGATGATATCTTCAAAAAGTTTAGGTATAACTGATAGTTTTGCGATACCTCTATAGTTTTCAATGTTGGATCTAAATCCACTTTTATGCAAAGGGATTATGAATGACTGTTTCCATATTGAAGGAAATATACCGTGTTTAAGAGAGGAATTAAATATCCTTGTCAAAGGCAAGTAAATATATTTGGCACTATTTTTTAGGAAGCATGAGGGTATCATGTCTGGGCCATAACTAAAAGATGGTTTTAACTTATTTAAATTAAAAAGGACGTCTTCTTCAGAAATAATTGGAGCGTTAATTAAAGTATTCGAACACAGCACTTGCTGATAAGAAAAAGTTTTGGAAGAATTATTACAGTAGTTTGACTTGAAAAATTCTGCAAACATATTGGATATAATATCATTGTCACTTGAAATGATAGATTTGTATTTCATTGCGGACGGAAATTTGGAAATCCTGCGTTTGGAGTTGACGAAATCATAAAACAGCTAATCAGTTAACAGCTATCAAATAAATCAGCTCCGAAAAAGTATTGCTCCATTGAAAACCACACGTCTAAAAAACACCCGTTTCAACCCAATAAAAATATGGCTTTAGCTGTTGTACCAAAAAAGTATTTAGCAAAATATTTATTTATAGCGCTTTGACGATCCATGGAGATCACGTTGGACAAATACTGTCTTCGTCATTCAAACCAGACATCAACATTTTGAGTCTGCTTCAGAGTCTATTCAGGGCTGTAAGATGGCGTTCACATTGAAATTCTTTTGTCACTCATTATCGAAAAATTCTCTTTTCGTGTCGCTCTGTACGTTCAAATGAGCAAAAAAAGTCCAGCAACTCTGGTCAAGTTTTTCTGTCATTCCTTTTCATAAAGTTTTCGCAAATGTTTGTGCGGTTCTTCTACTCGATACTTAGAGCGTATTGTATGGTTCATTTGTGTGTTGGTATGGTTATCTCATATTTTGCTTACAAGGAATTACCATGAAAGTGGTAGAACAATTTTTAGAATATCCGCTATTACAATTTGCAAAAAAAATCTTATGACGGGAATTCCCTAATCCAATAGAATGTATTGAATACCCGCTATTAATATTTTCAAGGCTAAATGTATGACCCCGTAAAACCCGTAATTTTTTTACTCTAGATTTTTTTTTCTATTTGTTATAAAACATTTTTAAGCTAATTACATTTCTAGTTTTAAATAATTTGTACAATGATATTCGAACTAAATCATTTACGGTTAAAAGAATTAAATATAAAAATAATTAAATATGATAGCATCTTAATATTTTATGCAAATATAAAAAAAAGGTAAAGTGACTCCATTTTTATTAAAAATTCATTTATATATGTAATGCATATATTATTGCATTTAATAATGTTAAAAACTACTTAAAATTTAACTTAAATATTTTTGACTATCTTGATTGAATACTTATTCAGAGTTTTTCAAAAAATTTCTATTATTCTATGCATATTTGCATATTACATAAGTATAAAAAATAATAATAGTAAATAAAATACCGAAATTCAAATTTCCTACATATCGTAAATATTCCATGAAAAGAATTTCAAATGAAAAGGAATGTTAAATTGCGTAAGGCAACCTCTCGCGAACAAGAACCCAAAGCGTGCCACCCAAGCACAAGCGAAACGGTCCTTTCGTCTTTCTTCGTCGTCCCATCGCCAACAAAAACTCGGTTTGGACGACAAAAGAGTCCGTGTATGAACTGGGATTCAGCACTCGAACACAAGTTTGCAATCATTAGATAATTTTTGAAAACAAAAAAATCAGAGTAAATGATGATTTAGAAATGAAAGGTAAAGTAATTTACAGGCAAACTTTGGACAGAAAGAGGAAGGGGTGTAACGTGGTTGAATTTTAAAGGTTTAATAAAAATAGTTTAGCTCTATTTCCCGCAAAAGTAAAAAATCCATAAAAAAAGGTATATTATATAAGTTATTATTATGTGATCTGCAACTTTTGAATTATTACCTTTTTCACATTCACTTCAAAATTTATGTAAAAAAATCAAATATCCACGTTTTTGAGTTTTTTAATTTTTTCTTGCGCCACAAATTTATCCTTTCGCAAAATTTAGTGTAAACTTAACCTGTTTTGTCCCAAATACACTAAATTTTTTCATTTGAAATATTAAGAAGGCAATTTTATTTCGACTTAAAATTGAAAGAAACCATAATTTTAATCAAAAGTTCTCATGTCAAAATATCAGAATTTTTTAAAAACTCAGTAGGATTTTTGTTGAAATCTCTATCGTCTGATGTTATCAAAAATATGTTTATTCATTATTAAAGAAAATTTTCTCAGAAAATGCAAAACAAAATACTTTGATATACTTTTTTTTATAATTCATGCCTTCTGGTTACTAGTGTTATATTCCAAGGCTAGAAATTTTGATAATAAATGAATGAAGTGATATACCATTTTAATAAATTTTTCTACTTTTAAAATGTATAACACAAATTCCTCCCTTTAACCTAACATTTATTTAAGTATGGTATACGCAACATACATAAATATAAGCAAAAAAACTCTTTGACAGTTTTTTTTTATATATGAAGAGCTTTATTTCCACGTAAATACATATCCAAACATTTTTGTTTGAATATCTAATAAATATACATATATAAAAAAAATATTATTGCACATGCATATCTAAGATGCTTCAAATTTATGATAAAAAGCTTTTGAACCACATATAGTATTTATTTGTAAGCATGCATTCTAAAATTTTCTCTATATTTCCAAAATATATCTACATATATTATTTTCCACCACCTTATACAGCAAATTTTTTGAGCACCTAAGGCACTTGTCTATACATATTTACAAAGGAGTTACACTGAACTGACTTAAAATTCTCAAAATGCATGCTGTAGTACAAACAAACAAAGTACTTTTATAGTTTTGTGCAAATTCCATTGAACTTTTCAAAAATTTCCACCACTCACCATCTACATTACCAAAATATTGTATACCACAACCAAAATAAACTTACAAATACTCGTATACTCACATACGTTTCTCTATATCTCCCTGTGTATAACTGGAACTTGTAAAATTGATATTGTATACTTGCTCTTCAAATGTTATTTAAAATATATAAATATTATTTATTTTGAAAATTTCTCAATTCTCTATTTTATTGTATTCAATGCAATATTTATTTGTCTATTCATATGTATATATTTAAATACACACACACTTTGCACAAATTAATTGGCAAAATTTGCTACAAATATCAATTTTCTCTTTTCCAACGTGTGCTCGACAAAAAAAAATCAAAAAAAATATATTCAAAAAATATGAAAAATAAACCAACACGCTGTGAATATTGCAAAATGCATAGATTTTCACCATCGCTGCGTGGCAACGATGGTCAGCTGTCGGAGTTCATAGACGGTTTGGGGCCCGGTCAACTAGTTGGGCGGCAAGTGTTGGGCGCACCATCGCTGGGTGATATACAGTTATCAATGTGCCATCAAAAGGGTTTCTTAGAAGTAGAAGTTATACGCGCTAGAGGCTTACAGGTACAAAAGAATGTCAATTTATTAAAAAACCAGCAGTTAAATTTTTAAAACCTCATTGCTTTGTGTAGCAAAAGCCGACGTCGAAAATGCTTCCCGCTCCTTATGTTAAAGTATACTTGGTTTCTGGTAAACGTTGCATTGACAAGATGAAAACTTCGACGGCAAGGCGCACATTGGATCCGCTCTATCAGCAACAATTGGTATTCAAGCAGCCATACCAAGGATGCATTCTGCAGGTAATTTAACGTTTTGAGCTGAAAATGGTCTAAATTAGTTTTATGTAACGAAAATTAAGTTTTCAGCTTTTACATTTTTTTTATACCCTGAACAGGGTATATTAAGTTTGCCATGATGTTTGTAACATCCAAAAAGAAACAACAGCGATCCTATAAAGTATATACAAAAATGATTCGCGTGACGAGCTGAGTCGATTTAGCCGTGTCCGTCTGTATGTGCGTCCGTCTGACTGCATATATACGGAGTAGTTTCTCGGTTTTTGAAACATCGATCTGATTTCACACCCGTACTTTTCTCACAAAAATCTGTTCATTTGTCGGAATGGCCGATATCGGACCACTATAGCACAAAGCTGCGATAAAAACTGACCGATCAATGTTTATGTAAGGAATCTTTATATTTGTGAAGGGTATTATAGCGTCGGTGTAACCGAAGTTAACGTTTTTTCTTGTTTTTGCATTCATAAAAGCATTTCCAACTTATACTTTATTTTTCTCTTTTTCTATAAGGTGACCGTTTGGGGTGACTATGGCCGCATTGAGAAGAAAGTTTTCATGGGTGTGGCACAGATAATGCTCGACGATTTAAACTTATCGAACATCGTCATCGGCTGGTACAAACTCTTTGGAACAACATCACTGGTCAGTTGTCCCACTAATTTAGGTCTATCTAGGCGCTCATCAATTGCATCACTTGACTCACTCAAACTGTAGAGCACACAAGCTTTCTACCAAAATATACATCATATACTCAAGTAGAAAAATTGGCTTATACTACAAAAAAAGAAATTTATTATCCAAAAATTTCTTCTTTAAACTGTTGGAAATTTCAAACGAAAACTCTGCAATAACAATTAGTTTAGAAAATTGGATTTATAATTAGATTTGACAAATTACAAAACAATTACACGCAGCTCAAGAACTACTCATACAATAGATTGCATTTGTAGTTTAGGCACAATGCAGAGCAAAATTAAAATTACAAGAAAATTAGTAACTGCAATTGTTGATACTGCAAACGATATACTTGCATATTCCACTTGACTTATTTAAATATTTTTACTCTAAACATTAACTGTACTTAATTACTTACTTATAACCTCTTTCAAATGCTTCGTTATTGCTTGTGTCCACATATTCAGTACTCGTTCTCCACGCTCGAACTAGAAACAGAAAAAACCAATTAAGCAACAACATTTATGGGATTCGATATATTTTATATATATATATTACATACATATAAATATATATACGAGAGTATAGCACACATGACATGTATATACACTACACAACAAGCACTCCAATTCTCAAATATAAAACAACTTAACTATATCGAATATATGCAAAAACAACCACAATACTAAAATTAATAATGAAATCCAACTCCACAAAAAAAGTACCAAAAAATTTAATCTGCTACAAAAAATTCATAATGTAAATTGTAATGGAAAATATAATTGAAATGTGCAAAATTACCGTAGAGTCCACACTCGTTAAGTAGACATTTCACCGATCGTTTTAGTCGTTTGGCATTGAATCGCTCAACGTAGTTTCTAGGTATGTCCTACCCATCTTTAAAAACATTATAACATTTTCTACCTATGTTATGAGAATTGAATTTATTTTATTTTTTTCTTAAACCCTTTTTGCATTGTGATTTTTCTTTTGTTTTTTGATATTTGCATGAATGGAATGTATTTTAAGCGATTCCCATTTTTTGGCTTGCAAAAACTCCTGCAACTACATTTGAAATAACAACTACAATTGTAATTTATTACACATACATATTTGACATTATATACTCAATAGAATTTTCTTCAATTTTTTTACGTTTTTTTTTTAATATTGCGTTGACATTAATTACATTAGTGAAACATAGTATTAATCCCAATTTAGACCGAAATTTGTATATGTTATATTATAATAAATCAATAGTCTTTTAAATTCCATACTAGTCGTAACGTATATTCATACTTCTGATTATACTGACACCCTCTATCCTTCCATCAAGATCAATATGAATAATATGACGAAACACCTCAAGTTTTACAACAAAGTTTTTGCTTATCTGTCAACATGAGTTACCACATTAAACACTGTGAAAGCCGTGTTATTCTTATTAACGGAAAAACAATATTATATTGTACTACTAGTGCATTTGACAAAGTATCTCCTTACTTTCGTTCATGATGTCACGAACTAATTGACTTTTCTGTCACAGGCGCTAAAAAAATAATTATGATATGGTACTGTCACTATTTATTATTTGCTCATATAATACTCACCATATCTCGTATAACTGTTTCCACGAACAATTTAAAAAAGATCGGGCGTCATAAGATATTGATTAAAGGAGATTTTTCATTTTCGAAAAGAACTTGCAGCTTACTTCCTCCCTAAACAGTTCTATATAAAATAGCAAGATAATAAAGTGTTCAGATCCTACCATTTTTTGCCCCAGCTATATGTTTATTTCAATAGCAAATTACTTTAACATGTAAATGTTACACTCTTTCACATCAAGATTCGATACCTATAAAGAACTGCAAGAAATTAAAGTATAAGGTCTCTAGAGATTCTGACAACATATCTTTCTGAACAAATAAAAAAAATATTTTATTCGTCCTAAGTATTTATACAATTTTTTTATTTTTTATTTTACTCAATTTCATTATATGTATAACTGCTATATAATCAATTGTAAACAATTATACTTTACAATACACAATTTTAGTTTCAAACAAATTACACACCTGACATAACTTCAAATCAAAATGGCTAACAGAATAACGGCTGTATTCATCAATAATCTGATAAGTCAATAAATTATATGTACATAATTTAACCAGCAATAGTTCAAATACTACAGCCATAGCCATAAAACATTTAGTCTGTACATTTTTCAATATAAAAAAAAATATTAGTATTTTAGCGCTAACTAATGTACATAGATGCCTTCGATGTAGGAAAAAATCCCCCATAAATTGTAAATTGCAAAGAAACCTTATGATATCCGATAAAAATATGTCTCTTTTTTAAAAGCTATATACTTGTAGTATACGTAAATATTTTAAAGTTACCATAACGTATACGAAAAAAGCTTGAAAAGTTTTAAGGCTTTCACCCATGGCGTTATTTAGTACCATTAACGATGATACATTCATATTTATACATATTCGTCCACATGATTTTATCTAAAGTTGGAGCAGAACTTCCTCTTTTCACAAGAAAAGCAGATACACTTGGACCATCATATGAATCTTTGTTTTTGTTGTTTAGTCAATCGCGGTAGGTCGTTGCTCCGACTTTATCTGAATTTTGTCAATCAGCTAATCAGAAACATATGTATGGTAATATGTTAATAATACAAGGCTCTTAATGGGTTGTCCACTGCCGTATTAATAGTTAAACAGTTGCGAGTACTGTAATAGTACGTTGACTGTTGTCGAGCTTTTGGTGTATACCAAAACAGCTTTTTTAGAGCTTTCAGAGTATGTATATATGTATATAATCTATCTGCTAAATAAAAACAAATATCCGGCTTAATTGCACTTAGACTGAATTCATATAAACGATAGACAGGATATGCTTAAGCAAATAAGATTGATAACATTCTTATTAGTAAAAAATAGCGCTCATTAACTGCCAAATGGAAATCATACTTATAGCTAGTTTTTAAATGAAATAAGAATGTTGCCTTAAAAGCACAAAAAGCTTATTAAAAAGTTTCGCAATTCAAAACCTAGGGACGTCCAATTGTTTGGCCCGGTGAATCGGTCATACTCGAAGAGGAAGGCGAAGAGATGCAGGTGAACTAAAGTGGCTACAGCAAAGCCAAAATAAAAGCAACCACGACCTGGCGAAGTAAGTGTGAAGTACACGTTTATTGTGAAAATAAATAAATGCGCTGCGCTTTTAGACAGTCTATATAAGCTGGGCTAGTTAACGCCATTTTGCTTTGAATTGCTGTATTGCTGACACTTACATAAATGGTATTGCCTTTAATTCTACAAAATAAACCCGTTTTACATCAGATACATGCACACACACCTTTTGTTGTCTATTTTCTCTGTAACTTTTCTTTTTAATTACGTCAAACAATTCGCATATAATCGATGATTGAAACTCATTTGGCCTGCAAGTCCTATTGTACCCCCTAAAACTTACACCAAAGCACCGTTACGAAAATTGAACAACCAAATACAACAAAACTAAAACATTATCCTCGAATGTACTATAAATGGTCTTCACGTTTGCCACCAATGTTTGCTCATTATCCATCATAACCCCAACAAACACAACACTAATATAACGGCATTACTTACTATATTCATATGTGTTTACAGTAACCCCTGCATAGAGCTGCTTCCACAGCAGCGGCGCGAACCTAAATCGCTGACTTAGCTGGGAAACGAAAGGAAAAAAAGAGAGCATATACCGAGCAAATACCGAACGAGACGGCAAATTACGCGTCGGATAACGTGAACGTGTACGCACGAGCTGCAGGTGAGCGCTTAATGGCGCTCGTGACTTTGGCGACAAGAGCAGCTCAACGGCAACTTTTTGAATTTACACATAAGTAGGAAGCACACAAATAACAAAAAACAAAAAGAAAACAAAATTTGCATATAAATATATTTAGAATATTTTTAAATTATTATGTTTTTCTAAGCTAAATATTACGATAAATATGATAATGATTATAACGTTGAAGATAAATATAAAGCTAAAAATAGGACAATGGAGCGTATGTAGTTGAAGTTGGGCGTTTAGTTTAAAGATACGACTTGGTGATTTATATAATAGTGATCATATTTGTAGTGCTGACAATGATGTTGTTTAGGAAGAGAACAGATAAAAGATGCATTTAATACTACAAACTTGTAAAATAATACATACACACATACATATATATATGTATATACATAAAGAGTAAAGCAAGTGAGTAAAAAAAGGATTTATTATTAATAAATAAGTTTAAAGAGCTAAAAAAAATTAAAAGTGGTGCAGTTTTAACGGCATTATTTATTACGTCTTATTCTTATAATCATAAGTGAAACAATATGTAAAAATATTGTTAGAAAATATGCTTATAAAGTCATGATATATCAATATAAAAACAGCTAAAACACAAAAAGAAAAACTCTACTTAATTGGCTATTAATTACAAAAAAAAACTAAAAATTATAACAATAATAAAATACTAACGACAGAGAATTTTACGATAAATATTTATGAAAATAAAATAAATCGGAGCACACTCAGTTAGAAAAATATTCATACATTTCTAACAATAAATTTGTGCTCTACTATATTGATATGGAAGAGAAAAAAAAAGTTAAATTATATATTTGTAAATACCAATTGAGCGATTATCACTATAAAAAAAGCTACATACAAATACATACACACGCGTATACCAATTAAATCTACAAAAAGAAAAAATATATATAAATTCAATTTTGTCATGCATATTTACAATACTATGTAAAAATGAAAATCTAAAAATCCAAAATAATTTTCTACAAAAAATGCAAACTATCACTTACGGCAGCAAGAGCAGAAAAATACGGTTTTAGCAATAACTGCGTTTCCACCAGAGTGCTGTAAACAATTTTTATGCACTTCAATGATTTTGTGCTGCAGTACTGTTTAAAGCGTGAGTCTGATCATGCTCGTACATATGTATGTAAAGAGAGTGCTTAGTTCCGCAGAACTTTTGTTGCCCCCATCATCATCATCCATATTTGTTTTAATTAAATTTATCTTTACAGAAGTCAGTTCCAAGAAAATACCTACAAAATGTGTAATCTCAGTAAATCAGTAAATCGGAAATAGAAATCTAAAAGATACGCAAATCTTTGAACTTTAATTTTTCAACTAAAATTGTGGTATCTTCATAAGTATGAGCAAAATAAATTTATCGCAAAAACAATATTATTATTGAAAATTATTACTGTTTAAAACTGAATCAATATTAAAAATCTCACCAAGTGAGCTTATAACAAGTTTCACAAATATTTAAAACTAACTTTCGAATAAAATGTCTTATCCACTATTAGATACAAGATTTTAAAATGAAAATGTTTATGGAATTAAGAACTTAATTCGTCTGAAACAACAATTTAGTCAAATAATCGATATTTTTTAGTTATATAAACGAGGGTTGCCTTTTATATTTTGGGATTAGAGTAAAAAAAAAGTATTAATCAACGAAAATCACTTTATTGGTTTTCCAAATATTCTCCATAAATATACATACACTTTTGCATGCGTTTGAAACAATTCTCTAAGCACTTTTGCCACTCTAACTGGGGTATCTCTAAAACATGCGAACGCATCAACCGCCTCTTCAGGTTAACGGACCGAAGAAAAAGAAATCATTCGGTGCGAAGTCAGGACTATACGGTGGAAAACACATCAAATCGATGCTTTAAGTGCTCAAAAATGCAGTTTCAGTCGATATGCAAACGCTCGCATTGTCGTGGTGAAGAGTGATCCATCTTCGACGATTAGTTTTCCGCATTTCTTTAAAGACAACTAGCAAACAAATGGTTGTGTACCACTCAGAATTTATTGTTCTGCGTTGTTCTAGTAGTACGGTTGTGACATGTCCAGTTTTGCCAAAAAAGAAAAACAGACAACCATTAGCTTGGAAGTGCTTCGTGTGCGAACCACTTTTATGGCTTCGACTCATCTTGAAATACGATTGACAGATTGTATGGAATCCAAGTTAAACAAATTTTTTACAGTCAATGTTCATCCAATATTGATTGTAGGCTGGTCCCACTTATGCCTATAGTTGTCTCAATCTCAGTTTGCGCACAGCATTAACAGTTTCCGGAACCGCAATTGATTTTGGACGATCTTCACGAAATTCATCTTGGAGTGAACTACGATTTAATCCATCATACCATAGATAAACACATAGTTAATCCACACAAAAAGTTGTACAAAATAACAGTGCAAAAATGTTTACGATTTAATTCCATTTTTTGACCAAGATGCATATTTAAAGTTACTGTAAACGACAAATAGCGCTAGTATGTCAAAACATTTTGAGTATGTATAACATCAAAAATTGTAAACATTACGATAAAGTTGTGAGTTGCCAGATTGCAACACTGGAATTGCCAAATCCCGAAATACAAAAGGCAAGCTACGTATTAGCGCTTTGTATAAGTAAATTAAAATACATGAGATGTCTTCATACATATTTTCACATATGTAACGGTAAATTTTTACGGGTTACTTATTTTCTTTTACTTTACCAATTTTTACGTGAGATTCAGCTCCAATGACTGATTAAAAAAATATTAGGTGAACAACAACTTTTTACTTAAAAATTCTGATGAAAACAAGAATTGTCAGGGGATTTGGTTATAAATTATTAACATAAAGCTATACAATTGAAATTCGCAAACAATTTTTTTCCTAATTTATTACACAAAAAGGAAAAAGTTTGTCTCATCATAGCATCGACTCTAAGTATGTACATATGTATATAATTGTTCTGCGGATGTGTCGAATTGTCTACAGAGTCGATGACATATCTTAATTTTTGAATAAACACCTTCCGTACTCATATATTTACAGCTTATGCTTTCTCATACAAATACACACACATATACATGCATATAACTACACAAATAATATATATCAATGTATATACTAAATGCTTATAAAAAATGTTAGCAAAATTTTGTAATCACACAAAAATTAAATAGCTTTTTTTAATAATACTTATAAAAAAGAGTATTGAACAGAAAATAAAACAATAAAAATACATTTAATAAAAATCAAAGTACCTTCTTATAGAATGAGCTGTAAAAACGATACCTGCTTGCAACTAAAAATCGAAAAGAAAACAAAAAAAATTCATCGCACATATACATACTACATACATGCATATTTAATATTTTAATTTGATTATAAAAACAAAAATGTTTTTTGAAAGCTTAAGCTCGATTGTAACGTAAGGAAAAATGTAGGCACACGCTAACATACGAGTAAATATATATGTATATACAGACAACCGATCAAGGTATATATATATGTATATTGCTTATATTGAATTTTATTTTTAATTATTTCAGCTTTCAATTTATAAACATTTAGAAACAATTTTATAAACACATCTACATACAAATAGCATTATCTAATTTAAATGTATGCACTCAAAAGAACTCACTTAAAAGCATGCTTAGAATATTTGAAAATAGCGAGATGGCTTAGAAAACTTATTCGACTTTTAGTAAAGCATTCGAAATTTATTGAAAAACTAAGCTGCTTATTCACGTTCATTTCATAATATTATTTTAGATCGAGCATACTTCCAGTTCTCTGGTTTGGCATGCGCAGAAAACACATAAAATTTCCGACTTTCTCACAAATATATTTTTGCACTTTTCTAAAACAGTTGAAATTGGATTTATAAGCCGTTGTTTTTTAATGAAAGTCATGTTTGTGGTGCTATGACAATTAAGAAAAGAGAGATAATATTCTGCCCATTAATTCGCAAGTCGTCGTTTAATTTTATCATAAATATTAGTTTTTTAGGATGAAATAGAGTTGAAACCTTTTTCAAAATTTTTATTAGACTTCAAAATCGCTTCGCTTAAGTTGACTTTAGCTATGTTAATTAGGCATCACACGCGCCATTCCTAATAGCAAAACTGGTCAAGCATGTGCAAAACTCAATTTGTTTAGCATTAAAGAAAGCGAATGTACGACATTAATGAGATATACGCAAACTTTCTTGTAGCGAAGTCAACTCACTAACTTTGTTATTGCTTTAATATGTTAACTGTTTTACAAGAGTGCAGCGCACAAAGATAGCGAGCAGAGATATAACGAATCGAATACGCCAACAATATAGAGCATGAGCTAAATCAATTCGCAGAACAATGTTACAAGTCTTATTCTTATTTCAAGAGAATAGAAAACCTTTCTTACTTAGCCGTCTTCTCTACAGGCAATGGCAATAATCGCCGAGATTATTCCTATCAATATATACTAACAACCGTTTGAAGTCGCTTGTACAATAGCTCTCTCAATTAGTCGAATAAAATTAAGACACATACTTCATATGGAAGAAACCAAAACCTTATGTTAATAAGTAGCGTAGAACCATCCTTCAGTAAATGCATAATTAACTAGCTTAGTTGATCAATTCAACGAAAAAGCTGTCAGAATCGCTCACCAGACTTACATCACTGTTTGACTTACAAAACTTTCGTTTGTCAACACAAAAACATATTTGAATATTCTTTCCCACCAAAAATGCGCAGCTTTTAAAAAGCTAAAAGCAATATTTATTTCTAAATCAAAATCGACCAACTTTAATTGGTATAAACCATTTTCAACAAAAAGTTTTTCTGTCATAAAAAAAACGAACGCACAAATGGCAAGTGAAATGAGTTTTGGAAATTTTGTAAATCTAACGTGTAGAAGGTTAATAGTATAGTAAACTTAAATATGGACATAAGTGAACAGATACACAAAAATTTTCACAACTGCATTATCATTTACACACACACACGCATGTACACTTTGCTTTTCAAAATTTCTCCGTCCATTGATTGCATACTCAAAGGAGAAATTGTAAAGTCGACAAAATTTTTCATTAGCACAAAACATAAGCCATCCATTGAAAGCATCCTACTTACAGACAGTGCGTGCAATAGGTATGTATACATAAACTGCATACAGATATCTTGGTATATATAATACATATGTATGAAAATTCACAAAATATATATTATATATACATACATACAAGAGAGTGAAACATAAAAACTACACAAACATACATATATATATTTATACTGCATAAGCAATTTGAAATATTTACCGTTGTTATGCATACAAATACATACATAACATGCTACCAATATTTATGGCCAATGCGAATAAAATTAAATAAATATAGATATAGCGCGCTTTAATTTACATACATACAAACATAGTGACATCTTCTACAGCATTAAGTAATTTTACATAAAAAGTATTAAAATTTAAAAAATCAATAAATAAAATATTTACCTACATAGCAATGTTTCAAAAATTTATACAGCCGTTAACTTTTTCCAAGTTTTTCATACTCACATACCTACTTGCACATACATATGTATGTATATATGCGTGGCAGGTATTTTTTCTAGCATAATTTCGATACAAAAACTAATTTAAAAGTTATTTCAGAAGATAGCTAACGGGAAGTGAGCCCAAACTGCTTTAAAAATGGTTTACCGCCTTTTTTCAAGCTCACATACACACAACATACATACCCATTTGAGTTTTTGTAGAATTTTAAGTGCAAAAATTTATAAAATTTTGTTTTAATTAGCAAACGGTCTATAAAAAATGCAACTTTTACAGCATTTTTCGCGTGAAAATATTAATCACAACTATTTTTCATCAAAATCAAGAACACTATTTAAATAATTAAATGCAAAACTAATTCAAGCCAACATACAAATAGGCATATACTAAGAAGCCATATATAACGCAGATACATAAGAACATTTTTTCATTATTTACATTAATGCAGGTTGTCAAAAGCAAAAGAAAAACAAAAAAAAGACACAGAGAACATTTCAATCCCCTTTACCACATTTCTTTTCATAACAAAAAGATAATTAAATAAAAAACACAGCATTTTTTCCAAAAAAATACATAAAAATAATGCATTATTGAAAATAAAAACAAAACCGTTACTGATTACTTACAACTTTAAAAACAAACACATACACACACTAAGAGAATGGTACTAATATAATAAAATCAAGACAAAGCAAAAACCAGATATTTAAATGCATAATATTAATTATAACTACACTATTATTATTAACTATATCTATCCTTTTCTCTCTCGACGCTAGAACGAATGTCGAGAAACGACAATAAACTGTGAAAATGTATTAAAACCAAAAAAAACTTTAAAAACCGTAACACAACAAACTGAAAACTTATAAAAATTCTGATACAAAGCTAAACTTAAAAAAGCAAAACCACAAAAAAATTAAAGCAAAAGCAAAAAACAAAAATCTATGTATACAAATATATATATATATATATATATATTAAAACAGCTGATACAGACGAATATTATGATAATGAATATGATAACGATACAGTTGACGATGAAATTTTCTTGCAACAAATGCGAAAAAGTGAAAAACCAAATATTATTAAATATATAAATGCATAAAAGAGAAACTTAACAATAAAAAAGATGAAATTATTATTACATATTAAATAAATGAAAAACCAAATTGTTTTCTAATAAAGAAAAAATTAAAAAAAAAAAATAGTCTGCTGTTGTTATTTTAAATTTTAAAGGGTTTTCCAAAGAGTGTAAACATTAGCTTGGATAAAAATAAACAATAATTTTTGCTCGGAAATATATGATCATAGACACCTCTAAAAAGGCTCTCCAAATATGAGCTCTAAGTTTTAACGGCAAGATTCTCCGCTCTCAGTTTTCTACTTTCTTTTTCTTATTTTCGGCTGGAAAAATTCAAATCTCGCTTCCAACTACTTGAAAAAATATTTCGTTTCATAAATTTTATAGGAAATTGAACGCTCTTCAAAAAAGATCTATTGCAATTTTTTCGTAAACTGACCGTTTGAAATAAATTAACGGTTAGAAATTTATTATTTTAAGACACATTTTTTTTTAACTTTCTAAAACTCATAGTTTCCTATCAAATTTACTGCTCTACAAAACTGGTCTCCTATTTTTCAAAGTAAAAAAATTGTTGGTTTTTGACCCACCTTAATATACATATATTATATTTCGAAAACAAAGGACAATGATTTTGCACATTATACGTTTTTGATTATTACAAACTGAACCGTTGGAATAAGTAGTATTACACTGGAATTTATATGTGATATCTAGTGTCGTATGAACGATTTGAGAATAAGATGCTAAAAACAATATATTATAACTGCATTTAAGCACCAGCCTATTATCCATGCATACATTCTCTGTAATCTAGTATGACATCAGCTTTGAGTTATCTGTTTAAAGATATAAAGATTAACAATCAATCAGAAAACAAAATTAGTAGAATTTCCTAGAGGGATAGTTGTAAAACTAGTTGTCAAAGTAGACCCTTATGTTTGACATTTACCATATATTCAATATGCTTTGACAAATTACATGAAAAGTTTTAAATTAAAACCACCTTTAAAAATCGTGAAAATTTATTTTCGAAACTCATTTTCTATAATGAACACTTTCTCAGCGTATTGTTAATGTCAAATTGCCTTTAATCATAAGGCATATTCCGAGCTTAAGAGGTAGGTAAATAAACAAAAGCGCAATCAATCCAACAGCGACTCTCGCTACTCTCTGTTTTTCGCGCCTAACACTATATTAGGTCCTAAGTTTTTAAAACTGAAGATAGAAGAAACATAAATGGAGAAACCTGCAGGGATTGATTCGACTTTTTGGCTGCCATGTGAATTCATATTGGTCGCCAGAGTGCTAAATGGTTCCAATAGGACAGTGGAACACGCAATGCAAAGCATAAAAGCAATCGTTTTATTGGAATGAATTGATGATATATGAATCATATTATATCAATGAATTGGGGGTGGTTACATCAAACCTATAAGCTATGTATGTATGTATTTTCTGTCCAGTTCGAAAAGAAGATTCGACTTGAGTATTATTGTGCTCATTACACCTGATCGTACTCTCGCCATGACCAGATCTTGAAAGATGTGTTTATCTAAATAACAGGACTTTAACAAAACATTGGTCCATATTTTCGTTTCTTTCCATCACAATTAGGTCTTAGACAAAAATGTTCACACAGTGTATAAAAAATCTGTTTAGTACATAAGTATATGATATATAGTTATAAAGCGATAACACTGAATAAAACCGTGTAGGTACAATACTTATGTATGTAAGTATGTCTGAAAGTAGATTCGCACATACACCTTGGATGAAACACAACCTATACATATACCTATTATATAAACATACGCACATCTAACCATCACTTTTCTATAAATGCGAATATCAATGCAACGGGCGATACAACAGCAGGGAATAGCGTCGCAAGCGACGAGTCAATAATAATGCATTGCAGTTTATGAGCAAAACGAACTGTGATTGCAAAAGCTACCGTCTCATATCGCCTGCACGCCTGTTGTCTCTCGGTACATGTTGTTACTCGGTGTACTTGATGGTTAATTTTTTTTTGTACTCTTAAGTACACATCAACTGTGAGAGACAACAAAACTGCTCTGTCTGCCTAGTTTGTGAGAAATAGCTAAAAATCGGTTCAAAACCACGCCCATTGCTTTTATATAATCTTATTAAGTATGCAATTTATCTTTTTATCAATAAAAAAGATCAGTGTTAGACTATTTTAAATTTTAAGTTATAAGAGTACATTAAAATATATACGCGACAACAAATGCGGTCAGCTAAATAATAAAAAAACAGTCTTACATTTTGGTTAATTTCACAGTAAAAAAGTCTTATCGACCGAACACACTTTAATCGGTCAGAGTTTACAACGAGCATAGCTCATAACCATGCACACCACCATATAAATTATCATCCGGTCTGTATGACCGTTGAACGAGTATTAAAAGGTTAATGGTAATGACGATAATTATGCCATGACAACGTGGAAAATTATAGATAAGGCCACGTAGAGTAGAGGCAAAAAATATGAGTGTCATTAGACAGTGACGAAAATGTCAGGCACGCAAACATAAGTGTTGTTATTGTAACAGTCGTAAATTACTCTTAAAACGACACTTGTATACCCTGAACGTATTTAAATATATAATTAAAATAAAAAATATCGAAAATAGCTAGCTTATGCGAGAGATAAAAAATAATATTGATAAAATCATTTCAGGAAGTGAGTGCCTAAACACTTACATATAACATATACATTCCCTTAATATATTCAACTAACACAGACATGCATGTGGGGTATAACGCGCTTTCTAAACGTTCTGAGTTGTGTCACTTTATCGCGTCGCAATGGCAACGACAATTCCGCGCATAAGCAACTATCAAAACACACACTGCGACATGTTACAGAGGGGCGGGCAATTGCGATATGAGTGGAACTGGCAATTTCATGGCATTTAATTTTTCTACAAAACTTCAACCTGCACTTGTTGCTGCTAGCCTGTTCAACTTGTTGCTCTGTGACGCCGCAAAAGCGCTTTCGAGCGCTGAAAAAGCGAATTCGAAGCGCCGAATAGGCGCTTTTAGACAGACATCAAACAGCTACATGCTAGTGGCTTGGCGAGTTTTACCACTGGCGCATATTCGGATGAAAGGCGTTAAGCGCCTTCGGAGCTTACAAAAAGCGTGTACACGTGTTTTTATTATACTTGACTGTGTGTTTGATTGAATTGAAAAACAAACAATCAGATTTCATTTTGCATTTGTTTGAGAGATTTCAGTTTGCATTTGTCCTAGCTTCGCATTAACTAGATCTCTTTAAGATGGACTAGCAGAAAACATAACAAAAACCTGCAGTTCTGAGCCTTGTCTATTATTAGACTATCTCTCAAATTGCCTTGCTCTTATATGTAATGTTGTTGTAGTTATAGTGTAAGTATATAACATAAATTATTTTTGCATAGCTACAAAGCTGCGGTTTGTCACTGGATCTATTCAGATCAGATTTAAAACAAAGAGAAAATTTTTTAAGAATCATTGGAAAATACGTTGTGAATGTCAACACATTAAGGGATCATAAAGCTGCTGGGTTGGCGTTAAATATCTTACCTTTATTGCTTGAAAATCTCTGGAATATTTATCAGCGTCTAGGCTGAGTTGAGAGTTTTCGTCTAAAAGACCAAGTGTGTATATTTCTTCTATATTAAAAGTCATATCGTCTTGCTTGTATTCCGCAGTAGATCCATGAATCCGGAAACGGATTATCGAATAAACTTACCGGTGGGTGTAGAAACATTTTTTTTTACCTTAGACAACATTAGGCTAGTATATTGGACCGATCAGTTATATTTTGGTCTTATCAACGCTTGTCCTATTGGCTAGACCGGAAACAGCGCATGAGCTCCCCCAAACGAGGCTCTATAAATGTATATCTTAAATGTAACCTTTCATATCTTCGAATATATGTGCATACATACAAAAATACATATACATGTATGCATGTACATATGCCTGTATCAAGCAAGGTATAAAGGTACTTGCTACACAATCGATCATTTACAGTTAAACATTACAAATGCCGACATCAAGCGTAGCGAAACACCAATAATGTTAAATAGCTGAGTGTTTAAGGAAATGGCACAACAACAAAAACAAAGAAGACAAAAACTTCAAAGGTTAATGAGATCACAAATAAACAGAAAACCGAAAAATTGATGGAATACAAGCGGGACATTGATGAATGAAAACATATTTGTATGTATGAGTTTACATACATATGTACATATGTTGAAGCTATTTGTAGAGGGTGGAGTGGGGAATGCACGTCGGCACTTAGAAGCGTAGCGTACTGCAGCGCGCTGCGAACAAAAGAAACGTGCTGTGTTTGCAAACGCTTGGCAGCCAAGCCGCGAGTCGAGCTCATTGTTAAGTGGTTTGGATGAACTTTTTTTTTGAAATTTGTTATTTACTTTTTTTCTTGTATATTTTTGTTTTTTGTGTGGTTTATTTGAAGGCGCGTTTGTACACATCTATGTTTGTTTTTGTTTACAAGTAGTTTTGTTTGTTTTTGTGTAGAGATATATGAACATGAGCAGAATAGACGATTTAAGGCGGTACGCAACGTTAAAAAAGAGGTGCGCTATTCAAAAACGCGAAATTAACGCGAAGTAATGAAATTTCTTCCTACATCAACTGGCTGCCAGCCTGTTCCCACTCGGTACAAAGCATTACCCGGTAATGCCATTATGTTACACATACCTATTGTAAGCAAGCCACTCATTACTCGTGGGGCTTTATATACAAAATAAATGCATAATCATCGCGGTATTTGAAAAAAGCAATGACTATGCAAAAGTAAATAGGAGAAGTAGGCTTTTGGTTTGCATATATATTTATATGTATATCTTAGAGTTATCTGTATATATATAAATGCGTATATAGTATTTACGTAAATTTTGCTTTATTTCGCTTTATATTTATACCCTGAACAGCGTATATTAAGCGTGCCACGAAGTTTGTAACACTCAGAATGAAACATCGGAGATAATATATATATTGTATATAT